AATTAATGCAGCGCCTCAGTTTGTTGATAACCAGCGCCAACGGTTGGACATTCAAATGAGCACCTGACACCAGCGATAGCGAACCATTTGCTTGGGTCGGAGTTCATGCCCCTCGATGTCAAGATGAGCAAAGTGCGCAGTGTGGTGAACAAGCTACACGAACGCTTAGACTATATCATAGAAAAATGTGAAAAAATAAGCTGAGAAATATTTTTAAAATTTATTATTAATAATTTTGTGTAATTTTAGGTCCCAACATGACTGCAGCGCCGTACAACTACAACTACATCTTCAAGTACATCATCATTGGTGACATGGGCGTGGGCAAGTCCTGTCTGCTCCACCAGTTCACCGAGAAGAAATGTGAGTACTTGATTTAATTTTAGAAGGAAGAGATCTTATTTGAACGTTATACTTTCCTTTTTAAATCCCAGTCATGGCCAATTGCCCACACACCATTGGCGTGGAGTTCGGAACACGGATCATCGAGGTGGACGACAAGAAGATCAAGCTACAGATATGGGACACAGCGGGCCAGGAGCGATTCCGGGCCGTCACACGCTCCTATTACCGGGGAGCGGCCGGTGCCCTGATGGTCTACGATATTACCAGACGGTAGCTACAAACTTAAAACTACACTTTTCGCCTACTTAAACCTGTCGATTTCAGCTCTACATATAATCACCTGAGCAGCTGGCTCACCGACACTCGCAATCTCACCAACCCCAGCACTGTGATCTTTCTCATTGGCAACAAGTCCGATCTGGAGAGCACTCGCGAAGTGACCTACGAGGAGGCCAAGGAGTTTGCCGATGAGAACGGCCTCATGTTTCTCGAAGCGAGTGCCATGACGTGAGTTTGAAATGCAATTGGCAACCATAATCTAATTGTTTAGTTACCATAAAGTGATTTAAAGTGTGCAGCAAAAACTTTAAAAAGTCCTTCCAATTTTTTTTTTCATTTTTTTAATCATAAAGTTGCAATATTTGCTAGCTTTTAATTTTAAAATCATTTAAAGTATTTCTGTATTTAATTTTTAAATATTTATAACAAGGTCTAGATTTGTAATGTAGTTTAGTAATTGAGAACAAGCCTTCCTAATACCTAAAAACACTAATTATTATTTCTCCCACAACAGTGGCCAGAATGTGGAAGAGGCTTTTCTAGAGACCGCTCGCAAGATTTACCAGAACATCCAGGAGGGACGGCTCGACCTCAACGCCTCTGAATCCGGAGTTCAGCACCGGCCCTCGCAGCCCTCGCGAACTTCGCTGAGCAACGAGGCTACGGGCGCCAAGGATCAGTGCTCGTGCTAAATGGATGCACCTTAACTTTACGCAACCCTAGATATACAAATCAACTTTTATTTTTAGCCGACTCGTAATCTACCGAAGCCCAAGCAAAAACCAATGTATGTAGTTGAATGATTTGATTAAGCATTAATGTGTGAGCCAACAACAGCGACAGCAACCACAAAAAAAAAGGAAACAAAATATAAAAGCCCTCCCCGATAATAAGACACAACCACTTTCAACATATATAATATCGATTAAGCATAAATATTAAAACAAAAATTGAACACGTTTGTTGGTTAGCGCGAATATTTCTCACGCATCGTTAGAGAAACCAAAGTTTTGACTATGAAATTTCGAAAAGTTTATCGCTCTATCCTAAGCACCAACACTCGTTTGGCCCCAAAATATATAGCTAAATACGTTCGATAGACCAAGTTTTCTGTTTGTTGAATCCCTGTATATATATGAATTTTTGTATCTCCTTTTATCAATCACTTTTTGTTGAGTATTTGTTGTAGTCGCGTGCGAGGAAGGGAGAAAACGATCAATGTTATATGAATATTAACGATGTATTAATGGCATAATGCAATAGGAAATAAATAAAACGGTATTTATAAAGCCCCTACCAATAGAAATGAAGTTTTGAATTTTTCGATGTCGTTACTTGCCCAATCATATTGATCTATGTGTTAAAGTTAATCTAAGATCAATTAATAATACTGTGGATACAAGTCGAGATATAGAAAGAAACAAGAAAACACTGACGAACACTAACAGAATTTGATATTAACTGCTGGGCATTTTGGCGGTATACTGGTTTACTCAAAATATTTTAAAATTCTTATTATTGTACAGGAAATCACAATGTTGCTACTTCGAAATATACATTATTCGTAATAGGGTTTCATAAAAACTATATATTGTTATATTATTTTAGGAGAATAAAATTCCCCAGTCAATGCTCATGATATGTTCTTTAGAGACTACGTTTTCGAACACAGGAAGTATACATTTTCTTTTTATACCCGTTACTCGTAGAGTAAAAGGGTATATTGTATTCGTGCAAAAGTATGTAACAGGGAGAAGGAAGCGTTTCCGACCCCATAAAGTATATATATTAGGGCGGGTCGATTTGTATGGGGCCGAAAAAAGTGATGAATCGTATAGGGGGAACGTAATCTTTAAAGGATTCTAAGCCATATTGTCGAACATACTTATGGTCTAAAATGATGTTTGACCCCCCCCAATCGCGAATGAAAAATACAGCTTTTTTTGAGGAAAATATCATAGTAGTCAGCTCAGATGTATTATTAAATTTAAAATAAAAATTTGAAATTGATATTCAGTACTATAAATGTGCTGACTACTATGATATTTTTCTCAAAAAAACAGTATTTTTCATTCGCGTTTGGGGGGGTCAAACATCATTTTAGACCATAAGTATGTTCGCCAATATGGCTTAGAATCCTTTAAAGATTACGTTCCCCCTATACGATTTTTGGGGTCCCAAATCGACCCACCCTAATATATATTCTTGATCAGGATCACTAGCCGAGTCGATCTAGCCATGTCCGTCCGTCTGTCCGTCTGTCTGTCTGTATGAACGCTGAGATCTCAGAAACTATAAAAGCTAGAAGATTGGCATTTTGCATGCAGATTTTAGGAGTTCCTACGCAGCGCAAGTTTGTTTCAAAATGGTGCCACGCCCCCTCTAACGCCCACAATCGCTTATTTACGATTTTAAAAATTTTAATATTTTGAAAAAGTAAAAATGCAGTTTTATTGTGTTTATCAATACCTATCGAAATGTAGAAGAAATTTTTCTAATCGGACAATTCGTTAAAAAGTTATGCGTGATCAACGTTTTTTATCTCCATCTCCCTCGCACTCCCTTTACCTGAGTAACGGGTATCTGATAGTCGGGGCACCCGACTATAACGTTCTCTCTTGTTAGTCGCTGGAATCGTAGCAAAATGTTTTTATTTTTGCATTATCATAAGGAGGGACATTAAAAATATTTGAAATAAAATTTTTTTTCGAAGGATTTAATTTACTTAGTCGCCAGTATAATTGCATAAGTTTTTTATTTTTGTATAGGGAATTTGTGCAATGCTCTTGATGAATATTTATTTATTGTAAGGAGGGTTATCAGAAAATATATACATTTTAAAATAAATTCTTTCAATTTTTTTTGCCAACTAAATTACTAAGTCAACGGGCAAGATACAGGGGTGGTCAAAAGTATTTTCACAAATGTTAATGTTAACTGTACTTATATTTTGAACTTATCATATAAACTTTTGGCACCTATATATTTATTTTATATTTTATATTTTTTTTTTGAGATTTTTTGAATGAAGACAAAGCGGTTAAAATAGCTATTTTCAAAAAATAATCAAAAAATACAAGGAAAAATATTTTGAAATATTTTCTTTTGCAGTTATTATTAATTTTGATTGGGGAACAACTTTGCATCAAAACATTTTTGTTTTAAGCCCCAGGGATAAAGTTGAAAATTTGACTTTCAAAAAAAATTGTCTAATTTGCTCACTTTTCAAAGGGTGCTTAATAGGTTAAGAAAATTGTTGTGTCATTTAAACGGAATGGGAGTGCTCTTTCCATAGGTGCCAAAATGTTTATATTATAAGTTCAAAATATGAGTACAGTTAACATTCAAATTTGTGAAAATACTTTTGACTAGGGTTGTATATTCTTTAGGGACTTCGCGTATCGGATTATGTTTTTATGATGTTGATAAAACTGGCTATAAAATCTGGTTCTAAGCATTATTGAAATTCAGTTGGTTTCGTTTGTCCACAAATAAAGTTCTCAGATCTAAAATGCAGCTGAGTCTGAATTTGTTAGAAATAGTTACTTTTTTAATTATCGTTAGACAATCAAAAGCAGGGATAAAAGAAAATGGTGAAATCTACGATAAGAACGACGATGACTACGACTACGAGGATGATTACAAAAATAATGATATTTTAAAATTTGTGAATAGTGATACAAACTTCAATAGTGAGAACGATGAAGCGGGTGATTTCCAATATTATTCCCAAGATATTGATCTTTCGAATTCTAATAGGTCTTCTGATTTTTACATCGAGGACGATTATTATGATGATGATGATGATGATCCTTTAAACTTTGTGAATAATGGTACCCTCGAATATTCTGTGAACCTTACGCAACGGAAATCCTCTGCGAAGATCTGCTGCCCCAGAAAGAATATGGACAATAGCCAGTGCAAGGATGGCCTGGAGGAGGAGATAGACCGAGTTAAGGCCAACCTAAATGTGACGACTGTAATATGGGAACCGATTGATTTTGTCAAGAATGTTGTATACCTAAAGGATGATCAGTACTCATTGACAGAGGTTTGGCTTTTGGGTTTCCATCGGTTTTCCATTTTTAATCCAAACTCTTTAGGACGGAATCTACATCGTGAATTACACATATACATTATATTACTGTATCCTTCCCAACCATTTTAACTCAAAGTTCCCAAAGTCAATATGGATTTTACTACATTTCGGCCCGCTGACATTGAGGACAGCGACACTCGAGAGTAGGGGCATTTCCACCTAGATAATCTATAGTTTCTTTATTACAATTTTTATTTTTTTTAGTTACGGTAATTTCAATGTTATGCTACATCTTGACGGTCGCACTATATCTCTATATAAGAAAACTGCGAAACATGCTCGGCAAATGAATAATCTGTACGCTACTCAGTATTTTTTCCATGTCACTTATCGACATACTAAACTATTTAAATTTATTGGACGATATTTGCTCCCTAAAAGGTTAGTACCCCAAAACTTATTTAAAAAATATGAACTAAAGTAGGTTAAATTATTAATATTACTATTTTATCGTTTGCAGGCTACAGTCATTACTTCTTCGGCATGTCTATTTATCTCTGGTTCACAGTCATGAGTTTCCACATGTGGAAAACGTTTAAGTCTGCAATTTGTGAAGTTCCTGGTTATAACTTTCTTACCTACAGTTTCTTTGTCTGGGGCACTGCAGGTGTTTCTACTGGAGTCATCTATTTGGTAAATCAAGTTTGGAAAAATGAAGTTATTGCCATTAATTGGATACCCGTAGTTGGTTTTACTAAATGCTATGTAGAAAGTGAGTTTTTGAAAGAGGTTTTTAAAAAAAAAACATAATATTTTAAAACTTATTTATGTATATACTTTGGTCAACAGATAATACGTGTTCATCTTGGATCTATTTGCATGGACCAAAACTCATACTAAGCTCCTTCAATCTTATTTTGTTTATCCTGACGGCTGTTCACATTCAGAAAGTAAAAAGCGAACTGAAGAGGTTTAAGCAACGACAGGTTGAAAGCCCGATCTGTCTCCAATTCGACATCCTGACGTAAGCCCTATTAACTTTATCGGAGGTATCACAGAAATTATTTCCACTCAAAATCCGTTATTGTTTTACGTACATATGGAAGAGATTTCTGTGACTTATTAATCCCATTATAATAACCATTCTTTATCTCTGAGCAGTTACCTACAGTTTCTGCGGCTCTCTGCCATAATGGGCGTATTTTATATAGGTTCTTTTGGCGGTTTTCTCTCTACTGACAATATGTGGTACCCAGTCATTACGGTTGCCTACTATGTACATCAAAGTTTTGGTATTTTCGTTTTTGTGCTACTTGTGCTTAAGCGAAGCACCTTTAAGATGATTATGGACAGGTAAGTGCTCTGTTATTAGTAAAGATTTGTTAAGTAAAATTGTACCCTTGTTTCTAGATATCGCGAAAGAAACTAGGAACAGTGTTCCCTTATCCCTTTCGACTGATAGATCATCTTGTAATGAAATTCACAAAATAGTGAAACTGCCTCGTTGCAAATACAAATGAATGAAATACAAATAAATAACGGCTAACGAAATGTAGTATTTTTTTGGTATTTCCTTATATTATTTGAATACTGCGGTGAAAAAAGGCTAGCTATAAACCCGCTGAAACCGGTTAAAAAGCAAGTCAGATTTGGCGGGGAAGAAGCGGAGTGTGAAGCCCTGGTGCCATCGCCCGCAGCTGAGTCTTCGCCTTTAATTTATTCCGTTTATAACATGCAAGTGACGAAATAGCTGCTCAACCAGCCAGCCAAAGAGGCAACGTCAGCGAATCTCGTCCCATGATGCAAATCAAGCGCCTCCTGTGCAAGTCCTGCGGCCTGGGCACCCTTTTGGTGGCGGTCGTCTGGCTGCTGGCGCTCCTCTTCTACTCGCACAGCCTGCGGAGCTCCATCCGTTCGGCGGGCTGGAGGATCGAGGAAAGGAACGCCACACCGCGGGCGGAGTTGAGCTACCAGGCCAGGGTCACCATAGGATGTACTCCAAATGAAGCCAGGAACTCCACTGCGCCGAGAGAATCCCCGGGAGATGAGAATCCCGAGCAGCTGGAGCTTTTGGGCGTGGTGCGCAACAAGCAGGACAAGTACATCCGGGACATTGGCTACAAGCACCACGCCTTCAATGCCCTGGTGTCCAATAATATCGGGCTCTTCCGGCAGATTCCCGACACGCGGCACAAGGTCTGCGATCGCCAGGAGACCTCCGAGGCGGAGAACCTTCCCCAGGCCTCCATAGTCATGTGCTTCTACAACGAGCACAAGATGACCCTGATGCGCTCGATTAAGACGGTTTTGGAGCGCACGCCCAGCTATCTGCTGCGCGAGATAATCCTGGTGGACGATCACAGCGATCTGCCCGAACTGGAGTTCCATTTGCATGGGGATCTGCGCGCCCGCCTGAAGTATGACAATCTGCGGTACATCAAGAACGAGCAGCGCGAGGGTCTCATTCGATCCCGGGTGATTGGAGCCCGCGAGGCGGTCGGCGATGTCCTCGTCTTCCTCGATTCGCACATCGAAGTCAATCAGCAGTGGCTGGAACCGCTGCTAAGGATCATTAAGGCGGAGAATGGCACCCTGGCTGTGCCCGTCATTGACCTAATCAACGCGGATACCTTCGAGTACACTCCTAGTCCCCTGGTGCGTGGCGGCTTCAACTGGGGCCTGCACTTCCGCTGGGAGAATCTGCCCGAGGGAACGCTCAAAGTGCCGGAGGACTTTCGCGGTCCTTTCCGCTCGCCTACGATGGCGGGTGGCCTGTTTGCGGTGAACAGGAAGTATTTCCAGCACCTCGGCGAGTACGACATGGCCATGGACATTTGGGGCGGCGAGAATATTGAGATATCCTTCAGAGCCTGGCAGTGCGGCGGCGCCATCAAGATTGTTCCCTGCTCCCGCGTGGGTCACATTTTCCGGAAGCGCCGGCCGTACACTTCGCCCGATGGAGCCAACACCATGCTGAAGAACTCGCTGCGATTGGCCCACGTCTGGATGGATCAGTACAAGGAGTACTATTTAAAACACGAGAAGGTTTCCAGGACCTATGACTATGGAGACATTAGCGAACGGCTGAAGCTAAGGGAGCGCCTGCAGTGCCGGGATTTCGCCTGGTATTTAAAGAACGTCTATCCAGAGCTGCATGTGCCGGGCGAGGAGTCCAAGAAATCGGCGGCAGCACCCATGTTTCAGCCTTGGCACTCGCGAAAGCGCAACTATGTGGACTCGTACCAATTGCGACTGGCGGAGACGCAACTCTGCGCCGCCGTGGTGGCGCCCAAGGTGAAGGGCTTCTGGAAGAAGGGCAGCTCGCTGCAATTGCAGCCCTGCAGGCGGGCACCCAACCAGCTGTGGTACGAAACCGAGAAGGCGGAGATTGTGCTGGACAAGCTGCTGTGTCTGGAGGCCTCGGGCGATGCCCAGGTCACGGTGAACAAGTGCCACGAGATGCTGGGCGACCAGCAGTGGCGGCACACCCGCACCGCCAACAGTCCCGTCTACAACATGGCCAAGGGAACCTGCCTGCGGGCAGCTGCTCCGGCGGCGGGCGCCTTGATCAGCTTGGATCTGTGCTCCAAGTCGGGTGGAGCAGGAGGAGCGGGAGGAGCCTGGGACATTGTGCAGCTCAAGAAGTCGAAGGAGGTGGAGGAGGACAAGGACAAAGCGCTGTGAGCAGGCTGCCCTGCCAGGCGTATTGCAATATTAGACTGATAACTGTTTAGGTCAAAGTGTATTATGTTTAAATAGCCAGTATTTTTCATGAAATTTTGTAATAAAATGTAGAAAACATAGTTATCGCTAACTTACGGTCATAAGAATCGTGTTATTTAAAGCTTAATCTTTGGCCAAAAACAGGTGTCACAGAAACAGGTTTCTTTCAATTAATGGTCAATGGATTTCTTTGTGTCTGCATATTTTAATGATATGATAATGATGATTATTTATAAGCTTTATGAAGCTTTACCTTATTTAAATAATTTGATAAATAACAATTAATAACTATATACAAATGGTTTTCATTTTAGAAAGGTAAATTTATTGTCCTATTGCAAACAGTAGTAAAACTACATTTACATTTTTTTTGTCCAAACATTCTGTAGCTAAGAAATAAAATTAATTTAAAAATCAGGAATAACCAAAATACTTTTTAAATTTTTTGTTTTTGATATTTTTAGAAGACATTTTTTTTAATTTGTCGTTCAATATCTTTTAAGCTTAAAAGGTCTTTACTTTTAATATATTTATTATTTCAAGGACATTTTTAATAATTCAAATGAAATAAAAAAGTTATACAGTTTTTTCTAAGTGTAGTTTTTTATGAGAAGTATACATTTGGTATTTTTTTAAAACAAAATGGTATTTCGTGTGACGCCATCAACGGTCACACTGTGTTTATGCTAAAAATCAGGCGCCAATTTGTGTGATTTCTATAAGCAATTTTAAAAGCAGAACCATGCAGGCCAAAGCAACCGACAGCCGACAGGAACCGACGCTGCATATGGGTGAGCTTACAAGTAATAATAATAAATAGATTGTTATCTTAATACAAATACCTTTCGCAGACACAAATGCGCGTCGCAATTTCATCAAATTCCATGCGAAACTTGGCGAGGTGAGTGGAGGCTACTATATAAATCAGGTTAAACTGCATTCTAAGCCGTAAGTTTCCAGAAACCCGCAACTACAGTGCGATTCTTCGACCATTCCGATTGCTACACAGTACATGGCAGCGATGACTGCGAACTGGTGGCCAAAGTGGTGTACAAATCCACCGCCTACATCGGAGCCCTGCTGCCGGATGACAAGAAGGAGACGCTCCAGTTCGTCTCCATGTCCAAGGGCAACTTCGAGCTGGCCGTGCGGGAGCTGCTCCTGGTGCGGAATCTCCGCGTGGAGGTGTATGTCAAGAAGTCCAACGACTGGGAGCTGGAGTACCGCGGCTCGCCCGGCAATCTCCTCCAGTTCGAGGACATTCTGTTCGCCAACAAGGAGGTTCTGGTGGGCAACAGCATCATCTCGCTGCTGGTCAAGCTAGAGGGCGGTGGCCAGCGACGCGTGGGCGTGGCCAGTGTGGAGCAGAACGACTGCAAGTTCCAGCTGCTCGAGTTCCTCGACGACGACTTCTTCACCGAACTGGAGGCCACCGTTGTGCTCCTGGGACCCAAGGAGTGCCTGCTGCCCAGTCTGGAGGGCGACTATGCGGCCGTGAAGACGCTGCTCGAGCGGAATGGCGTCATGATCACGGTGCCCAAGAAGAGTAGCGCAAATGATTTGCTGCAGGATCTCAACCGCCTGTTGCGCTTCGCCAAGGGACAGCAGGAGGATGCCACGGGCTTGAAGGAGCTGCAGCTTCAGCTGGCCTCCAATGCATTGAAGTCGGCTATTAAGTACTTGGACCTGGTTAACGACGCGGGGAACCTGGGGCACTACGAAATCAAGCAATTGGATCTAAAGCGGTGAGTCGAGGTTCAGGTTTATTAGCTAAAACCAAACTAAAAATAAATATTTCAGCTTTGTGCACTTGGACTCGGCTGCCGTGGCTGCGCTAAATATCATGCCCAAGCCGGGCACTCATCCTTCCATGCCCTCGTATCGCTGGCAGAGCATTATGGGCGTGCTGGACCATTGCCGCACTCCACAGGGACACCGGCTGATGGGCCAGTGGGTTAAGCAGCCGCTGCGAAGCCGAGATATCCTCAATGATCGTCACAATATCGTTCAGTGCCTACTCGAATCTCCGGATACCATGGAAACGCTTAGCCTGGATTATCTTAAGCGCATTCCGGATATTCTCATGCTGACCAAGAAGCTGATGCGAAGGAAAGCTAATTTGCAGGATCTGTTCCGAATTTACCAAGTTATTCTGCGAACTCCAAAGATTCTAAAGGTTTTGCTTGAGCTGGAGAACTCCACAATAGAGAGTGTAATCTGCGCGCCTTTCAAAAGCTTCCTGGAGGATCTGACTGGTCTCAAGCAGATGGTCGAGCAGGTGGTTGACTTTGAGGCCATCGAAAGGGGCGAGTACCTGGTGAAGGCTTCGTTTGACAGCCGACTGATGGAACTGCAGCAGACCATGACGGAGCTTTATGAGAAAATGGAAAGGCTGCAGGCCAAGTGCAGCGAGGAGTTGGATTTGGATGGCAAGAACCAGGTGAAGCTGGAAAATGTGGCCAAATTGGGACACCATTTCCGCATCACTGTGAAGGATGATTCTGTGCTGCGCAAGAACAAGAACTATCGCATAGTGGATGTCATCAAGGGCGGCGTTCGCTTTACGTCCGATAAGTTGGAGGGCTATGCCGATGAATTCGCCAGTTGTCGCACGCGCTACGAGGAGCAACAGCTGTCCATTGTGGAGGAGATCATTCAGGTGGCTGTGGGCTATGCGGCCCCACTTACTTCGCTCAACAATGAGCTCGCCCAGCTTGACTGTTTGGTCAGCTTTGCAATCGCCGCGCGCAGTGCTCCCACTCCCTATGTGCGACCCAAAATGCTGGAGGAAGGTGCCCGCGAATTGGTTCTCGAGGACGTGCGTCATCCCTGCTTGGAACTGCAGGAGCATGTCAGCTTCATAGCCAACAGCGTGGACTTTAAAAAGGGTAAGGAGTAAAAGTGATAACTTGTAAATGTAAATTAATACCTTAATTTTTATTCAGAGAAATGCAACATGTTCATCATCACGGGACCAAACATGGGTGGCAAAAGTACCTACATTCGTTCCGTGGGAACCGCTGTGCTTATGGCCCATGTTGGTGCCTTTGTACCCTGCAGCTTGGCCACAATTAGCATGGTAGACTCCATCCTCGGAAGAGTGGGAGCCAGTGATAACATCATCAAGGGCTTAAGCACATTTATGGTGGAGATGATTGAAACATCTGGGATAATAAGGGTAAGTGACGAATTTTAGTTAACTTAAAGCATCCGGACAGTTTCGAATGCGTTTAAAAAATTGTTTTTGGTTGATACATCGCCACTCAACCATTTTACTTAAAAGCCTCAAATGTTCCCTTCTCCAGACCGCTACTGACAAATCCTTGGTAATCATTGACGAACTGGGTCGTGGCACTTCCACCTACGAGGGTTGTGGCATTGCCTGGTCAATCGCTGAACATCTGGCCAAGGAGACCAAGTGCTTCACTCTGTTCGCCACTCATTTCCATGAGATAACCAAGCTGGCAGAGTCTCTGCCGACGGTTAGAAACTGTCATATGGCTGCAGTGGCCGATGCGGATAACTTTACGCTGCTCTATCAAGTGCGTCCAGGGGTTATGGAAAAGAGTTTTGGCATTCAGGTGGCGCGATTAGCAAATTTTCCCGAGCATGTCGTTCAGAATGCGCAGGAGGTGTATAATGAGTTCGAGGACGAACATGTGGACAAGCAGAAAAAGGAGGACAAGGCACTGCTGGAGAAGATTCAAGTGGCCATACAACAGCTGTCGACAGCCGGGAACAACGTCGATATCAACGTAGAGGACTTGACCCAGCTGGTGACGCAGTTTACGAAGGACATTGAGCAGTTGGATAGCGATTACTTTAAATCCGTGCTGGCCACTAGTGAGGCTTAGGATGAAGGTTGGGGCTAAAAGTATTTTTTAACAGGCAGTATTACTTACAGAGGCAGTTAATTCATATTTTGTCGGGTATAATTTCCTTATTAATCATCACATCATTTTATTTAAATTTCCGTTTTTTTTTTTGGTTGAAAACCAGCATCTTTTTATATAAGATTTCGTCAAAAATTTATGAATATCCATTTTGTTAACTAAATATTTCTTCCATCGTATTAAACATAAAAATGTTATATATAAGATTTACTCAAGGAGAACCATGTCCGATATTTAAATTTGCTAAACACATTATCATACCACTTACATTTTAATAAATTATCACTATTATAAATACATACATTTCCATATGTATAAAAACCACCATCACAATATTAATGCCGAATTGTTTTCTAATAAAATGATTATTTTTATGATAGGCTATTTTGATTATCGCTGATTGGGCGTATTGAAAGATGAATCATCGTCTAGCAAGACGATAATAAAATGCATGTTCCACAACCGTCACATCATTTGGAAACACAGTGATTTGTGTGTTACAAATAGCGCTATTTCTTAGGCTCCATGCCAAGTCACATTGAACATGCTTTTTAACACAGCGCCAACTACAAAATACGAGCCTGACAAACTGTCAATTTAATCGGCCAGGTTTTAACCTCAGCTGTCACTTGGGCCAAAGCGCCGCCGTTCCGTTCCGTTGGCCCGATCTTTAGCTCGACTGTCATTACCAAATTCAACTTAAGTGCTGTCAAAAGATAATTACCGTTGCGGCTTTGATTTTTCTTACCTTTTTGTTTTTTACTGCGAGACAACTAAATGACAACGGCTCTCGGAAAGGCCTAAACCAGTTTGGTGCTGCCTCTTAAGCTGTGAATCAATAATATGGCTAAAACGGATTAATGGAATTCTTTTTTTGCGACTCAATGTTAATAAATATATTAAGGTTTTAAAACTTAGGACAGCCGCCTGAGGGAGGAGATGAAAAATATATACCTATAGTGTATGTTTTCTTACCTTAAAATAATTAAGCGCATATTTATGTATATATATGAAACTTGTTCCACAATAAATTGGTATATTAAGTCGTGGTGGCTGCCATATCATTTAATCAAATAAGTTTAAAAACTCATTACTTAAGCTACAATTAAAAATATATACCAATCTTTATCATAACTTTGAAGAGATTTTAAAACTAATCAATTCACCCTTAAGCTAGACTTCGTCCAATTAGACCTTCTAGAAATCTTCCACACGACATTATTGGTTCGCATCTGATATATTCCTCTGCCCTTGGCTGTGCACACATTCAATTTAATATCGCATACTCAACAAACATGGCGTGTTAGCAACGCTTAACAGCATCCAAAATTGACAGGCAACTTTAAATATATTGCATTTGCGGCCAGTTCGGCATGCTTGTCTGCCACGATTAGTGGCAAGCAGCCAGCCAACGAAGCAGCCTCTCCGATCCGGCTCCATCTTCATCTCCATCTGCAGCTCCTGCTCCTTTAAAGCCAACTTCATTTGGGTGAATGGGGCGAAGACGTCCGATGCGCCGCGACGCGTACAATTATTAATTTGATACGATATAATTGACATGTTGCCGATGCCAAAAAGGAAGCACTAACATGTAGCCAACAACAAAGCAGCAGGAGCTGGAGCAACAACAAGGTGAAACCTCGTAACGTGGCCAACAAGCTAAGCCAGAGCGACGCATATTAACGCCATGGCTTAGAGACAAGGACCGATCCGGCTTAGAGATGACACTTGGATGTGGAATGTGATGCAAAAAACAATAGGGGTCCCAGGCAAAACGTTTGCAAAATTTTCTTCATTTAAATTATTCATTATTCTTAGTAAAATATTTAAAATATATAAGAAATATTTTTAATAATTTCTAGGATTAAATATTCGTTGGATTTTCTTTTAGAAAAGCTTAAGAACAACTGATTTTAGGTGTTACCTAATTATTGTTTATCCTCTAAAAAGAAAAAAATTAGAAATCCATTTATTTTATTTATCATATAAATATTTTCATTTAAAATTTTTAAATGTATGAAAAAATGGTAAATGATATTGTGATGCTCATCTCTAACGTTTCATTTTCATGCTCCTGCCTTTTTCACTGCCGGCCTCTCGTTTTCTGGCAGGCAGGCGTGTAAATTGTTTTTACTTAATCGTTGCGGACACAAACGCACATGTTGTTTGGCCACAGCAAGAGCAAGAAAAACACCAACAACAACGGCACCAGCAACCAGGCTTTCATACCTCTTTTGCCGATCTCCTTTGATATCTGCTTGGCTCTGTGGCGCGCTTTTGGTAATTGCACTTCGTCTGCTGCTTCTGTGTTACCAGCTTTGTTGGCCACAGACATGGTCAAGAAAATATTGTACTTATGGTATTTTGGCCAATAGAAATACGAAAATAACATTAATGCATTTATGTATGTTTTAAAAATATAACTAAATCAGCAAATTAATAATATTATAGGTATTAAATTATAAAAAATAATGATTAAAAAATGTATTTAAACCATTTTTAAATGTTTCTTCTAATAGATTTAATTTATACATTTTATAAAAAGTTTTTTTTAGGGTTTTCAAAAATTGTTTTTGCAAATATTTTATAAAAACCAAGAAATTACTTTTAAAAAGTATAAACTCTGTTTTCTATTTTATTCTTGTGCCCATGACTGTAGAACCAGAGGCCAGTTTGTTTGTGGAAAATTGTTATTTGTTGCTGGTAGCTTGTCTTGTTGTTGGTGGCCGTTGTTGTTGCTGGATCCGTTGGCCAACTTCAGTCGGTCAGACATGCAAATTTTTTGGTGTGTCTAATGTTAGTTGTTTGTTAGTTTTTTATGCAAATTTTCTTGTTTCACTTGACAAATTGTCTGTTCGACTTAATGATGGAACGTAGGTTGGCGGTAGTTGAGGTCCGATCGGGAGCAAAATGATTATGTGCATAGTAGTTTGGGTTTATGATTGCGCTTGATTATATATGTAAGAGCTATGTAGCCACACAGGTTTTTGAGAAAGTTATTAAATTGTGTAAAATAATTGATGTGAAAGGTTGTGGTTTTCATCCGGAAGAGATCGTACCTTAACAGGATTCATTTAATTTTAGGCAGGAGGGGAAAAGAACTTCATTAATTGTAAGAAGAAATATTTAACTTTGACTATATCCAATTACGTGGGATTAAAAAATTCAAGAATATTAATTACATACCTATTTCTTTCAATCAATGTATATGGATTTGTAAAATGACTTTTCAATTTTAGCCATGAGTGCAAAGGTCATATTTCTCTTATTTTTATAAAAACTTGAGCAATAAAATATAAGCCTTGGCCTTATTTAATGAGTGTTTCAAAGCTCCCAGCCATATTATCACTAGAAACACCTTTCCAGCTTGTCTCGTGTTTGTATCCCATTTATCCACTCTGACACCTTGCACAAAAGCCTTGGTCCCCCAATTTCCTTGGCAGTGCAGCCAATCAATTATAGTTATAACAGGCAGTGAAAAGGGAAAATCATTAAAATCTTATCTTTTAGCCAATAACGTGGCAGATGGACGGATCGGATGCCCCCCAAAATGAGTGAGACAAAATGCCCGCATCAACATCTATTATTAGTGGCCATATCAAAAAATGATTAGCAGAGCCGCCAAAGCCGAAGTCAAAGCGATGGTGTTGGCCTGAATGAATGGAGGAGAAACATAACAAATTATGAAGATGGACGGGTTTGCCTGGTTGGGTGCCTGCAATGCATCCACAAGACTGATTATAGACTTTAAGGTGTAACCGGGGAGAGAAAACTACATAACACTAATTTCATTTTAAACGAACAGAAACGTTGCCGTGCATATAATTTAAATAATTGCATAGGTGCTGCGAATAGCCCGGCTATTGATGATGTTATCATGTTATGTTCGCATACGATCCACACTTATACTTAGTTGCTGTCTTACAATCTTATCTACAATTTCCGCTGGCAGCTGCTGGTAGTCGACGCTCTTGGTTCCCCTTAATTATAATGTATCGCCTTAATGGGCCTCACTTTGCCGCCGGCAGCCGCTCTCCCCAAAAAACATTGTCTTCATGTCTTTCTGATTATTGGGTACTACGGGAGGAGCGCCATTTTAATCCACTGATAAAACAATTTACCCATCTCATCTGGTTCGTTTGCTCATTGGTTCCACTGCCTAAATTATGGTTACAAAATTTTATGAAGCCATTTATATCACTCACGAGATGTGCCGCCTATAGCATGTACTATAATCGATGGGTTGCACCCTGAGCTCTACTTCTTTTACTCTGTTTTGTGCACCTCCCTTTTAGTACTTGTTTTCAATTTGTGCCAGCAAAGAAAAAAAATATTTTAAAAAGAAATCGCCAATGAGGGTAAGCATTTAGTTATGCAATTACTGTTTACTTGCCAATACAAAGAAATTAAATAATTATAGGAATCAGTCCTGAACCAAACATTTAAGGCTACCATAAAATGAAGTTATTTTAATGGAGTAATATAACCGGAAAATGGCCTAAATCTGTAATTTTAATATAATAAAGCACAATAACATAGTCTAACTGTAAGTAATAGAATATTAATATGTTTGTACATTCCAAACACTTTTTTTAAATTTCTAACTGGATTACCAAACATTTAAGGCTACCATAAAATGAAGTTATTTTAATGGAGTAATATAACCGGAAAATGGCCTAAATCTGTAATTTTAATATAATAAAGCACAATACCATAGTCTAACTGTAAGTAATAGAATATTAATATGTTTGTACGTTCCAAACACTTTTTTTAAATTTCTAACTGGATTACACGTCGTATGAGTAATTTTTAGAAAAACTTAAAAATGGTTTTGTTTTTGAATACATTTCATTTAAAAAGCAGAACCAGTTTAAAATTATTTTCGTTTAAATATGCAATTAATTTTAATCTTTTACAACTTACGACCAGTCACAAAGTTCGTTAAAATATTTAAATTAAATTATATCGCCGTTTCTAATATCTCGGAATCTTAATAAGGTT